GTGGTATGGTTTGTGTGGTTATATCAGGAGGGGTCCTGGTTTCATCAGAGGCACCAAATCCACTTGTCTCCCAAAGATGAAGGGCTAAATTACTTCCAATTTTGAAAGTTAATAAAAAACACATAGGTGATTTAAAAATCACTGAAGAATTTAGTGGGTGACAAATGCCACCAAGATATGTTGTTCATGATTTTTACTATAATTATACATTTTTACAAATCACAGGTAGGACCCAGCCAAATATGGAATCATTATCACTGATCCACAAAATTGGTTTATAATTAAGAAACCAGATACTTAGGTCTTCAAATAGGTCTTTGCCTTCTGGACCCTCAGTATTTTAAATAAAAGTGGCTGAACCAAAGAGAACAATCATGAACCCCAGTTCAGGTAGTCAGTTACTGGGAGCAAGGTCAGTCTGGGCGGGGACAGTCTGTTCTGCAAAACATAAGAAATATGACTAATTTGAACTTGGCTTAGGAGGGAAATATAAACCAGCATTTTCCAAATGGGGCTTCCAGCAGCTGATTCAGTAGAATATAATTTATGCTAATAAGTTCCTGGATTTCAAAGTGACTTTTTCTTATCACACTAAAGCCCTTTAATTTGGGTATATATTCCTTAATCCAGAATAGGCGGGGAAATTCTCAGTCAAAAGCCAGAGATACAACTGGCCTTGTCCAAAAGAAGAGGGGGAAAAAAAAAGATTACATGATGGAGGGCTGGAGGAGGGGAGAGAAAGAAGTGCAGTGTATGGCTTTCAAACAATTTCCTATGACACAGCTCTTGACTGACCATACCACTTGCTTCTAGAAAAGTTTATCATAATTTAAACATGGCATATTATTTGCAAACTTTAATGTGACATAGAATGGATGGTAGGGTGCAGCTGGTGTCACTGAACTGTGAGGGAAGCAGGAAGCATACCCCAGACAGAGCCAAGAAACTCAAGTTCTGCTTCCGGATCCACCACTGTTCAGGTGTAGGATATTAATCAACTTACTTCTTTACAATAGGCCTCAGTTCCTCCATTTATCAAACAAGACTAGCTGTGATAGTTAATGCTGAATGATCCCTTACTATTCCTTTTAGCATTAACTTTTCCTAAGCAAATGGGTTTCGGATTTATTTATTTTTTTACTGTGACTCACAATAGAAAGTATATTTTATGTTGTGATTTAAGCCAAAAGTGGTAGCACACACCTGTAATCCCAGCACCAGGGAGGCTCAGGCAGAATAGGGTCTTCAAGGCCAGCCTGGGCTACACTGTGAAAACCTATCTCAAAAAACAAAATATAAATAAAATACATTATGACCCATTCCTCACATTTATGTATTTATATGTAAATGTTAACTATACACATAAACACATGACATGTTATCAATACACACATGCATACACACACGAAATTAAACAGAAATTACCCTTATTAGCTCAGATGCATTATGGTATTTTTTATTCTATTTCATTAAGAGAAAGCAGGTAAATTCTCACTAAATTGGCTTCATGACACATGTTTGGCAATCACTCTAGCTAGATGCAATTCTGTATACTGAGGAATTGCCTCCAAATGAATGTGGGAGCATAACTTCATGGCTAACATTTTGATCCCTGAAAGAAAGAAAAGCAGCTATATAGGTATCAGTCTGCATATCGAACAAATATGCTCTAGCTTTGGCAAAGTATGACATAGTACATAAAAACAACCACTAAGCACTCTCCATAGAGGATCAAGCTTTCATGCTCTGCATAACTGAACTTTGGTTTTTCATTTGTGTATATGCAAAGCTTTTTTTTTTTTTTTGTAAACTTCTTTTTATCTGTTTTGCTTTGAACTCTTCAATTAAAGCGACCTTAGTTTTTGTTTTGTTTTGGGGCAAGGTCTCACTATGTAGCCCAGGCTGGCCTCAAAGTCATGATCCTCCTACCTCAGCCTCCCTAGTGCTGGGATTATAGATGTCAACCACCATGCCCAGCTGGAACCTTAGTTCTACTTATAAACAACCCCTTTTAAACTTTCATAGTTTTTGCTAGAGTAATTGAAATGAACATTTGATTTTGAATATTAATTTTTAAAGGCATGGTCACTGATGCAATAATTTGTAATATTTTCCTTCTACTTCTATAGTGTGCTTCTACACTATAAGAATTTAGTTTGAAAATTTTTTATCCTCTTCTCAGAATCCTCAATGTATTCACTATTGCAGTTTTGGGTTCAAGGAACAGTACACCAGGTATCATAGGTAATTCTTGTCTTACATCATATTCAAGGTTCCGAGGCAGCGGATGATTCACTTGGGGATGGGAAACTGAGTCTGATTTCCCCAGCTGAGTTTCCCTTTTTGTTTTATGTACACATACTTTTGCATAGGAGCAACAATCACAAGTATTAAGGATATGATTCAACCACGTAAGGGATATTTCATTTTGCTAAGAGAAATTTCAAATACTTCTTTAAAAGCTTACATCACCAAATAATCCCCTTTAAGATATCGCTTCTAAGTAGAAGATGATTATGGTTTGTGTTTTTAAAAAGCAGGGCACAATCCTTAATGTCTATGTGTTAGTTTATTATAACATATAGTGAATTTGTCAACATAAAGAATGTAGGGGTAGTGGAGTGTCTCAAGTGGTAAAACACCAGCTTTGCAAGTGGGAAGCCCTGAGTTCAACCCCCAAACCCACAAAAAAAAAGAATGTATTCCATTTCTATCTATTGTACTTTACTTCCTCTAATACTACTTATACCAGACATATAACAAAAGCTAAATTATTAAGAAGATGTTAGATCTTAGCTTTGGATTATTTTTATTTCTCTTTTATGACATTATAATTTAACATTACCCTCACCTAACTGCAACTACATACGAAAGTCTTGTGACTACTTGATTGCTCTGTGAAGTTGGATCATGAGGATAGGAGTACGGTTTAGTTACTAACCCTTGTGCTCTTTTTATGTCAACCATAGCAACTCAATTTTAAAAATATCATCACAATATCTGTATTACTGGAAATTAACCTTTACCCGTAACACTTTGGATTTGCAGAAAAGAGCCAGAGAATTCCACTTAGAGGTCAATAATTGCCAACTTCACATTTACAGTTTTTGAATCTACCTTTTTTTTTCTTCAATATGACATTAACTAATCATCCAGTACATAGAATTTCTGCCAAATATATGTTGCACTGTTGAAGAGCTATCAGATTTCTTTTTTTCCTGGGGGGGGGGTTGTGTTCAACATTAAGTTTACTTTCCTATATCCAGGTAAGCACACTGTACTATTCCTGGGGCTTTAAAAATATCATCCATGCTGATCCAAATCAAACAGACCTTTAGAGGGTACTGACAATGACGTCTTCATTGAGTCCGATCACTTCTAAGCTTTCGTGCCTTGTTTGCTCTGTAATGCTGTGCCAACATCTCGGCCTTTAGATGGCCCCAGAATCCTTGGAAACATCTTATTTGTTTACAAATATAAGCTTGCATTCACAACAAAATTTGAGGATAAACAAAGTGTGCTCTGTTTTCCTTACTTAATCACAGCATTTGGAGTCAGAAGAGCAGAATTTTAAATAATACCCTTATGGTGGAGCATTTACAATATATACCAGAAGCAAACAGAATAAAAGGATTTTCTATAACAGGACACTTTTTTTTAACCTTTGGAGTTAATTTCTTTCTGAATATTAAAAGCATTCACATTTTTAACTTTTGAAGGATATTGATGGGAACTATGATGAATGACCCACAATGTTTAATTTTTAAAATACAGATTTAATAATCAGCTCTTCATATCCTAATCTCATGACTTCATATTATCAACCAAGTATCTTAACAATAACCTTTATACCCAAAATGGGCTTTATTAAATATCATAAAAGTTAAACATCATGGTTTCACTACCAGAAAGCACCAAGAATATGGGCAGAAATAATATTTTACAATTTCTATTGTAAGTTTTCAAAATAGTATACTAGTATTGGATTCCCTTCTGTTTTGGCTACATTTTGAGTAAAAGAACAAAAGCATTCTTGAAAATATGTGTCCTTTTAAAAAAAAGAAAAAGGAGAAAGGAGAGGCAACATCAAGCACCATTCATGCTCCCATCTGAAGGAGAAGGGGAGAGCTGAACAGCCTCAGTGGCTCGTTAGACAACACGAGTCCACAATGCCCTTCTCCATTTGCCTCCAGTACATGCCAGCCTCAGAGCCAGGGCAGCAGGGTTCTGCAGCGTGTGGAGAGGCAGACAGTTTTGCTGGCTCCCACTTGCTCTTCAGGCCATAGTCCAGGCAGAAGTTGGCCTTGTGGGGTTCCTGTCGACCTGCCAACCCATGGCACTCCTGGGACACTGTTCGTTAGATGCTGGCCAAATCCTACATGAGAAGTCATCTCCTTCACATCCTCTTCAGTGTCAGGGTGTTAAGACTACAGGACACCCCTTCTATCAGATTTTATGGTGTTGTGCACTAGCCAATGGAAGTAAGGGGGGATAAAAAAGCAACTTGTTTAGTTTCACATAGTAGAAGGAAAGAATTCTTCAAATAGTTGGTCTGGACTGAAGCCCAACATCTCTAAATCTCAGCTCCATTTTTTTTTTCAGTTGCCAATAGGGTTTTAGACAGTTAAATAATTATGACCTATCTACTTTGGGCTACCTATCATTGCTTTCTCAGAGAGAGCGATCTGCAGCCATTGCTGTGTAAATATCAATAATCGATGTGCTATTTGCCAATAATCAATCCACAAAGCATATTCAGACATATGTAGTTCCATAATAGACACAAATTAACAAAGTAGATATTCTCAAAAAGAGGCCTTCACTAACATTCTTAAGACTATTCATAGAAAATATTACTTTCAATAAGGTTCTTCAAACACCACATGTAAAGACAGACACTCAGAAAAATATTCACACAAGTAGCTATAGATGTTCAAAGACAAATATGGTGATCTCACAAATACATAATCTTTTCTGAACCAATAAAGACAATGTGTTTTTAAAGAATGTTTGTGTCTCATTGTATTTTTTCCTGGGAAAGTGAAAATCATAATCTTGCATACTTTGAGATGGATAAACTTAGACAATTTATCAACGCTTTCTTAAATTTTCACACCACACTGAACTCCAACAGGTTTTTGTTTTAAGGTAAACCAGGTTTCTGGTTCTTCCCTGTGGAGAAGTTACTTTCAAGTCAGTGAAAGTTCTTGGCCCATGATTAAAAGTCTTTGCCAATTAGTACTCAACAACTTCAATTCATTTTTTTTTGGTTCAAGATGAGTAGGAGCCTAATAAGGCTGTGATAAAAGGGCAAAAGGCACTGAGAGCCAAAAGCGGATTAATGAGCTCCTCCATTTATTTGTCTTCCTAACAGCTGAACTGTTACAACTATTGACACTCTTCAAAAGGTTCCGCTCTGAACCCTGTCCAGGCACTGCAGGCTCCAATGGACATCTTCAAATCCAGAGAATGGAGGGGCAAGAGCTTCCCCTGTGTGATGCCAAAACCAACAAAGCCCCACGGATCAGGTAATGAAACTTCAGCTTTTCCCCCTTTGAGATTTATTTACTGGCAGCTGACAAGGGGCAAATTCAGCTCGAATTGTGCAGTCAAGGCCCTGTCAAGCTTTTAGAGGCACCCTTGTCTTGAAGCACCTTCATGACTGGCATTTCGCTCAAAAGCCCTCGGCACTGGTCCTTAACAGCTTATGACATCACAAAGGACACTCCAGACAGATGCCTACATGGCATCCTGCAGCATTTTAAAAGAGAATTAGTGGTTTTAATTATGGTCGTAGTATGAAAGGGAACCATGCAAGCTCCACAGGAGACCTTTGATCAGACCCTTTTGCTAGTACAATGCCACGGAACTGTGACTGTTCCTGGTAAGGGGCCTTTTCTTGCTGAATGACTCACCAGTGATCTTTGAATGCAGACAAGCTTCTAGCCCTCCCTCTTCATTAGTGAGCATTTCTATACAGGGGCCTATATAGTGCTTGGAGTCTAGGAGCTATACAATTGGGGGGAAAAGAATCCCTACAGATTCTGGCCTCTACTTAGGAAGTGCTGAAGGACTCTGAGTGACTTTATTCATTAAAACAGGTTGCTATTAATTAACTGTCATAATAAAATAAAGAACTATTATTTGCATTTCTTACTATGTTCTCTTTAGTAATATGTATAAAAGATGCTTGTAACAGAAATGAATTTATTGAATAACTTCCCCATCCCTCCAATACCCACCCTCTTTTTGCATGTGGGCAGCAGAAGCCTACTAATTATTGGGCCTAGGTCTCTGAGTCCAAATAGAAGTAAAACATAAATATGAAATAAGTAAATTAAAACACTTTCATTTGCTATTCATTTCTGTAACTGAAATAAGCAAACATTAAATTAGCTTTCTTTTTTTAGTGATTGCAGGACACTAAGACAAAACTCAAATCATTTTTCAAAATACCACTTACTTGGGTATGCAGTTTCAAGTGTGAGATTTTGTAACAACCAGTTACTTTAAAAAAAGGAATTCTAATATGAAGTATAATGCTTAATTCTTTAAAAAAAAATTCCACTTTTAGTAAACAGAAAATGTCTTGAGTCTGGTAGGAATATTTTAAGAATTTAAACCTTTAAAATCTATCTGAATAAGCATGGCACTTAAAAGATTCATGGTCAATATTTTAAGTATATGAAAAGAGTTCATTTTCTTCTAGAACCTAATTGAGCACAGTCATTTGGTGAAAGACTGCAGAAGCAAGAAGATTTTTTGAAAGCATCTTATGGAAATGTTAATTTGGTAACAAGTGATGAACAGAATTTTGCATGAACAATATATCTCAGTCATTAAACATGCATTAAAGCAGTAAAGCTGTGCCGTGTTACCTATATCTGGGAGATGACTTAGTTTTCTATTTTTTATACTTTCTTGGAGGAAAAACTTTTGGACTTCAGAATTTTAGAAGCAGAATGATGAGCAGGTTTTTCACATTTTGCTGTCTCAGGCATTTTTCATATTTCTCAGACTTTGTAGTTCTTTTCTTAGGTGCTTCAGAGCAACTAAAATATCAGCAAACTGTGGATCATTCCGTGCTTTCTGAGCATAAAGACGAAAATGTTTGATAGTTTCAGATAACAGAACTTCAGGGTCTGTATCTCTCTCCAGAAGACGCAGCATCCGCTCACAGGCAATGGCATAGTTCTTATGCCAATTCACTGGGTGTTCCTTTTGTAAATAGACAAGCTCCTTATAAAGCTAGAAAACAGCAAAAATGTTGGTATTCCATTGTTATCATTTTACTTTTTTTCCCAAAAAAAACAAAACAGAGAAATTAACACAAAGAAAAAAAAATCCAAGCAGCCTATAGTAAAAATGATAGTTGCTAGGCCATGCAGAAAACACAAGGATATTACTGTAATTATTACAGTAGGAGGAGGCAAATATGCTTCACCTAAAACTGCTTTGGGTTGTCATATGTTTCAGGGGGAACCCGAGACACACTGTGTTAGGACAAAATGCTCTTCTTCCAGAAAGATGTTCTGCGAAAGGGATTTAGGTCTAACTGGTGGAAAGCTATTTACTCAACAGGCAGAGAGGGTGAAACTCTAAATTTAGCTGCTGGAGGAAAAAAAAATAGCTTTCTTTAGCAGACTGCATGGAAAAATAACTTGAAGGATTTAAATTTTGTTCTACATTATTTACATGAATTTCTCTCTACATTTAACATAACAATATTAGCAATAACAAAACAATCCAAACAATTCCATCACCAAGTACACTGGGCAGAACAGACTTTAAGAGACATCCTTAAAGTGGGATATGTAAAATCTTCACAGTAGTCTATATAATTTACAACCCTGATAGTTAAAATTTTGCCCACAAGAATTCAGACTTTTGATTTTCCAATATCAGAAACAGTATTAATTGGATATAGCTGGAATTTTTGATATTGAGTTTTTCAGAGAAAATGAATTAAAATTTAACAATTAAAAAAAAAAGCAGATGTAAATCTACAAAATGGAATACTTCTGTAGGAATGTCAGCGTTTTCTTGGGGATTGTCAAGTAGAGGTGGATTCCCAGTTTTCCAGTAGACTCTCTGAGCACAGAATAGCAATAATGCTTTCTGTGGGACAAGCGCTTTTTGAATTAGAATTGTACTCACAATGTCATTTAGTCGAAAGGGATCAAATATGTTATCTATCTCCCCAACTCCTACTCCAGAGAAGACAGATATATACTTATTTTAAAATAGCATCCTTGTCAAATTCTACAACCCATGATCTATCATTTTGATATTTAATAACTGTCAATCTTCAAGCTGCCTTTTAATGCAATTTTTTCCTCTTAGTTCCCTTCATTTTATGTAACAGGAGAGGGTTACTAGGTACTTTCATATACACCAAAGGTATTGAAGTCAGATACCTACCCTCCTAGCCTCTTAGCAAAATACTCAACTGTTTCTCTACCCTTTCTTCACAATCTCTTTTTCTCTCTCAGTTGCTTTTCTCCCCAGCTTCCTTCTGAGGAGGAATGAATGTACGGTGTAGCACGCAACCGACACCAAGTAGGTGCAGTGGAACTGATTGGGCTTTCAAAATCCTAAGGGTTTGGTGTCTAAACAGAGGCAGTATTGCAAGGAGTGCCTGTTTCCCCTACTACTCCAGAAAATCAGAGGCTCAACAGAACCTACCTATTACAGTCCCCAGGCATTGGAATAACCACACCACTCCTCTAGAGCACTCTGGATGATGAATCACTAACTTATTTTGGATGACTGATCAGCCCAACTATGTTGAAACTTTTTTTTTTTTTTTTTTTGTGGTACTGGGGCTTGAGCTCAGAGCCTACACTTTGAGCCACTCCACCAGCTTTTTTTTGTGATGGATTTTTTAGAGAACTATGCCCAGGCTGGCTCTGAAGCAAGATCCTCCTGATCTCTGCCTCCTGAGTAGCTAGGATTTCAGGAATGAGCCACCAGTGCCCCGCCAAGTATGTTGGATCTTAAGAGCCCAGTCATTTCTCAATATGTGGAATTATGTTTTCTTCTCTGTGTATGTTACTCAACATTAGTCTTGGTGGACTACAGACCCTTAATTGGGGACATCTTCAACTTATTGAATTTATTCCTAAAGTGCTGGCTACTCCTTGATCTCATATAATCCCTGAACTTGTAACTACCTAACGATGCTCTGTATAAGCTACTGTGTGGGATAATGCAAATAATAACAAAAACATTCTTTGTAACAAGAATATTTTTAGAAACCCAATATGGGGAGTGGATCTGTTGTTGGTCCATCAAATAATTGGCCTCATTTGTTCTATCAATGGTATCACACATCTGGAGAAATATATATATGGGGATAACCATATCTACATTCACTGAAAAGAATAAAACCCACTGTCCAAAGGAACAATGAATCCACAAATAAGCTTTAGCAGTAGCCTGACAACTGACCAAGGAAGACATCATTGATACATGAAAATCAGTAAGTCTCTGACTTCTCCCACATAAATATTGCTTGTTTTTTTGTAGTATAACAGGGCATTAGAGATTACCAGGACATGATATGACCAGGATATGAAAGCTGATCTGTTAAAAGTTTAAAGCCACATTTATATGTAAGTAATTATTTTTGGCAGCACTGGAGTTTGAACTCAGGGCCTTGCATTTGCCAGGCAGGAGTTCTACCACTTGAGTCATGCCCATAGACCCCACATTTTTTTCTATCCCCACATATTTTCATGTTTTTTAAAGGAAAAAATATCAAGGCCTGAAAAGGTTAACTGACTCATAGTTGACAGTTAATGACAGAGTAGGCCTAGAATTCAGACTTTCCAACTGCCAGACAGAACTCCAGTGTGCCGCCTCCTATAATTGATGACTCCTTGCTATCCCTGAGTGGGGTGCCCTGGAAGGTCCTGCCTTTGCCCTGGTGGTTTCCTCCTTATGGACTGACCTCCCCTCCCTTTTACTTCCTTGCTCCACCATCTGTTACGCTAGATCGTTCTAATCTTTATTATTATTGCTTTTTGGCAGTATTACAGTTTGAACTCAGGGCCTCATGCTTACAAGGCAGATGTTCTACCACTTGAGCCATTCCAACAGCCCGCTCCTCCTAATTTTTCAAGATGACATCCTAGTGACACTCTCTGTGTCCCACAGCACCTCTGCATACCTCTCCAGCACCTGCAAGACTGAATTGTGACTGAGCCCTGGATCCTCAGTCTTCCTCTCTAACTTGCTACCTTTTTTGACAACAGCAACAGGGCTAAATATCTCCAACACAATAGGCAAAGTGCAGTAGCTGTGAGTGAAGGAATAAATGAGTGAACAATAAACCAATGATCAAAATTTAGGAGTCCAATTAGTCATAATTATTAGATCCTGTGCAATTTGACTTAGCACCAAACAAATGGTCTGGCTGAGTAGATTCACAACAGTCTAGAGGGAGCAGAAACAACTCAGCTTCTCATACGTACAGGTCCTGGGCTCTGTGCTCATGGACCATTGCCAGAATATTTGTCTCCTATAAGGCAAAGTCTAAGACTATATTTTCAGGTATTGGAAGAACTCAGTGCTATAAATCACAGAAAAGCAGAGCATCTCATCTTTGCTCCAATTTCCTAGTAGAGAGGACTGATTTGTGCCACAGCTTTAGTGTGGCTGTGTCTTTGAAAGGTTTAATCAGCCATGGTCTTGTCATGTCAAATGTACTCAGGGTCAGGACATTTGCACAGAGGGTAACCCTGCCAGGACTTGTGTTTTACAAAGTCATTACATTAGTTGCCTATTGCTGTAACAAATTATCACAAACATAGTGGCTCAAAACAACATATGAGTTTATTATCTTGCACTTGTGGTGGTAAGAAGTTGTGAAATCAGCAGGGTTGTGTTCATTTTAGAGGTTCTAGAGAATTGGTTTCTTTACCCTTTCCAATTCCAGAGGCCATCCTGAGATCTTTAACTCACAGCCCCTTCTTCCATCTCCAGGGATAGTGGTGAAACATCTTCAAATATCTCCCTCTGTACCTCTACTTCTGCATCACATCTTCTCTGACCCTGACCTTCCTTCCTGCCTTCCTTCTACAACACTTGTGATAGCATTGGGCCCATATGGGTAATCCAGGGTAAGCTCCCATCTCAAGAACTTTAACTTAATCACATCCACAAAGTCTCCTTTGCCATGTAAGGTAATATAATCATAGGTTCTGGGGGTTAGGACTCAGACATCTGGAGGGGGCAGTGCATTATTCTCTCGACCACAGTCATTCACTTTAGACGTTATGATACAGTTGAGCACTTTTCCATAGACTCTGCTTTACAATGCCCAAGATAAGCTTGGAACAAAAGAATAAAAACTGTTGTGCACCCTCTCTCCATCCGAAGTACTACAACCTTCCCACCAAATATCCCTCTCTATGAAAATTATCACATACATCATATGCGTGAGCGTAGAGTTGAGCTTTCACATTTGAAGGCATATCCGGAGTTTCTGCCAGGCTAAAAATGAAGAATGGCGTTTTCATCCTGGGGGTGGGAGTGGGAACCTCCATTAAAATGCTGTTGTCAACTTTACAATCAGGGCTAAATCTTCCAGACTTCCCACTAGTATGAAATGCACAAAACTCTTTATTGTACTATTTTTCATTTTCTCTTGTTCATGGAAGTTTACTCTGAACCAACAGTGTCCCCACCTCCAAGACACTGCATTCACACTTAATGCTGAATCACTAGGAAAAAGTTAACATCATTATCACTATTATATGGTGGTGTCCTTCAAATGTACATTATTGCTATGCAACAGCAGCCAGGAAGGGGAGACTTTCTGGGTTTGCCAGCATGTCCCTGAAGGTGCCCGTCATAGCAACTCATGCCATGTGTGACTAGCTCTTCAAAGGTGGCTAGACTCTTTGACCACATGAACTCATCCAAATTGTATTCAGCACACCAATTAAATCAATACCTGCCCGAATAATGGCCTATTTTCTTCTTTTATGTGATTTCTCCCCTGCTTTCCTGCATTCAATCACAATGAAGAACTGTGCAAGCATATGCACATATATGATCAGGTTTTCAAAGCAAATATTTGTCCCTATAACTAGACTGACAACTTTATGTCATTTTCTGGCTTTTAAAAAAATGACGGCATAATCTATAGTATATCAATTTTTTAAATCATTACATTGCAGCTGTTATTTATTGACAAGTCATTATAAACATCTTTAAACATATGTAAGCTCTTTAGACCATCACTTGATTGTCAGTGCACAGTCCCTGGCACAGACTGGCATCAATACATTTTTGCAGATGGAAGTATTCCATATATATGAGGCATCCTTCTCTGTATTAGTTAGGACCTTTACATTAATATTTAGGTCAAAGTCTGTTAATGTTGATTGTTTTGATTATTTAAGAATAATCAAGGGACCAAGAAAAACAGCGTCAGTATGAAATGTTCCATATGGAGCAATGTGACCTCTCTCTGAACAAGAAAGTACAGCATCTGTCATATTAATATCAAATCTCTTCTAATATATCTCTGTCAGACTGTAAGCTCAATGAAGGTAGGGACTATATTATTTTCCTATGTGGATGTTTGAGGCCTGATAAATTATCTGGTCTCTAGTAAGTATTCATTTAGTACTTTCAAAATTAACTGGCACATTACAAAGGGAGGCAGGGTTGTAACAAAGAGTTTTAACCACTCCCACTTTGGTTTAGCTGAAAGAGGAGCAAAGAAGTAAAGAGTATCCCAGACTCAGGTATGAGCTTTGGATTCCATCACCAGTAGTTAAGTGGCATTGGAAACCCTCTGTACCTCCAATTTGTTTGTTTACAAAATGGGGATATTAAAACTTCTTCATAAGTTATTAAGAGGATGAAATGAGATTCTTCATATACAATGATTAGTACAATGCCTCAAACAAAATAGTTGCTCTTAACTCTTTTTATTACCACTCATACCTACTCCCCAAATGAAAAGTGCCATAGGCTACTTCTTTGCCATATTAAAAACAGCCTGAAAGGCTGGGAGAATAGCTCAAGTGGTAGAGCATTTGCTTAGAGAAAGTGAGGCCCTGGGTTCAGTCTTCAGTACTGATAGACAGCTAGATAGATAGACAGATAACCACAAACACAAAAATGTAGATTAGTTACCTTGCTTGCCACATCTCTTCATTGGCCACAGACTCCCAAGAAGATGGATCAAACCTATAATTATAAGAAAAACAGTATCTTCTCTTCAGCTTCATTTATTGCTATGGACATGTAATGCTTGTTTTATAATCTTTTAAGGCCACTAAAACAGGATGGATGTTGAAGTAGTGATAGTGACCAAACAGATGTGTTCTGCATCATGAGCCCAGTGCCTCACAGGAGCAAACAAAGGACTGAGGACTGGAGGCATTTGTATTGTGTGTGTAAGTGTATAGAGTGTGTCAGCTTTTCCTAAGAGCTATTAGATGGCATCTTGTGGCAGAGGTAAGACATAAGCCATTATGATACTTTGTGGGAAGCAAATAATTACTAACAATAAAAAACAAAAATTTAAAAGACATGTCAAAATGTAGGATAAGCATGGACAGGGCCATGCCTGACTTTGAGAAGCCATTGCTGGGGGTATAATACTGCTCAAAGAATGCTGGCCAAATAATTTGCTGAATTTTCTTAATTGAAATTTTAAAAACCATGTACCTGTTTTGATAGAATGGAGATAATGAGTGATGCTGTATATATACACTATTCATCAGCTCTCTGAAGAATATGTTATATTCTAAGTTGTCTTTATGAATCAAAGCATTCAGGCCTAGTTATCCAGCTCTGGCATTATAAGCATTAGGGTGCATAATCTTTAAGTAACTGGCAATGGAGGTAAATTCTTTAGATGATGACTCATTTTCCATGTGGGAGAGAGTAAACCCTATGTAGAAATGTTTAAAGGATGACCAATAATATCTCAAACAACATAATCAGGTTGATGTCAGACAACTGTGGAAAAAAAATACTCAATTTGGTCTTTCCTACAGAAAAATTATCTGCCAGTCCTTTCTCTTTTTCTCCTCCTCCTCTGTCCCGCTCCCTTCCTCCTCCTTGATGCTGGGGATCAAACCCAAGGTCCTGCACATGCTAGGCAAGCACTCTAACTGTGAGCTACAAACCGAGCCCCATATTTGCCATCTTTGAAAAAAGAAGAATGTGACAAGTTCATGCATGTGTCAACTATCTAGGCCAACAGACAGCCTCTTAAAGACCAACTGTAGTAAATGAGTTCCTTCTACTTTTAGGGCAATGAGATGTGGAGTGATGAACACTATAGCATCAAAAGGCCTGGAAGGTGGGCATGGTGGAGAACACCTGTAATCCCAACACTCAGAAGGTGGAGGCAAGATTATTGTGAGTTTGAAGTTAGGCCAGCCTGGGCTACACAGGACTGTCTTAAGAAACAAAAACCAAAAACTAACAAACCCAAAAAACCTAGAAGATGCCATATGTCTACCTATTGGGCTATTCACTCAACTGCAGTCTTCCTTTTCCTCTGTCTCCTCATTGTTCTATAAACATGAGAACAAAAGAGATGTTTTCTCTTTCTGTTTATTTTTTTATGGTACTTTGTGGGCAGCAAATAATACAAAAAACAAAACAAAAAAGTAAAAGGCTTCTCCAGAGCCAGGCGTGGTGGTACATGCCTGTAATCCCAGCACTTGGGAGGCTGAGGCAGGAAGATCTTGTGTTTGAGGCCAGCCTGAGCTACATTGTGAAACTCTGTGTCAAAAAGTCAAAACCAAAACCAGCCAACCAAACAAAAAGGCACCAAAATTCTATCTTTTATTCTTCTACTTAAAAATAAAACAGCTGTTCATACCTTCCATATTCTTCAGTCCAGTTATAGATATTTCTGGTGAGTTCAATCCATTCCTCAGGTTTGAATACAATCCCTGAAGGAACTAGTTTGTCACAAGACCCCCATGGCCAAAGTGAATAGTTCTTTTTCCAGGTTGGGTCACCTTCATGAATTCCAATGCAAACAAATGTTTCTTTTCTATTGGAGACAAAAAAGCATATGAGCACTTGTAACTTAAAAATTCAAAATGTTAAGTATAATTCATGAATAGTCATTTTTGACCCCTTAAACCTTAGTTTCCAATAAACCATTTGTGAACATGTTGGTTTATTTAAATCTTTCTCAAGTAGACTGTTTGAAATTTATCTTAGTGTAAAAATGTTGTTTTTAAAGGGGGAGGGAAGCAAATAAGAGAAACAGATGGACAATGTTCTTGTCTACTATTATAAGAAATCACTTGGGAACAAGTATTGTTATCATGAAAATTATTGTGGTATTGTCTAACATATAAACATGTTTTCTTTGATACCTTTTTATTTTGTAGGTGGCAGTATCAATCCTCCTTTGTATCCCTACTCCTAAGTTATTCCTGTGTTTCATTCTTCTCATCCCCATTGTCCTTTACCAATTCCTGTGTCACTATCGTATGGTACCTATTGTTTGCATTTGTATGTTCCCTAAGAAGTCTAGAATCATCCTGAGAATAGGCCGTCTATCCCTGAATTAGCTGAATTCCACATAGCATGATGCATACCTAACACACAATAGAAACTTGCTGGATAAAATTAATTAGATTAGAACAAACTATTAGGAGTCTCAAATCCTACAAAAATTAGTAATAGAAATAAATAAGCTTGGTTCAGAAATAAATGATAGTTAAATAGTTCTTTTCCAACCTGTGATTTATGACTTTATTGCTATTACTACTAAATAGGAAAGAAAAAAAAATAGGAGCAAATTAGGAAAAATTAGTTGAAACTAAAAAACTGTAAGTTTGAAGGAAGACACTTTTAGCTTAGCTTTTTTTTTACCATTTATTGCCTCTATAATTTAGAGAAAGTTACTTAACTAACCTTGTCTAGTCTCCTCATCTGTCAAATAGGTCTGGTAACTATCTTGCAGAACTGTTTAAGAGTGAATATGATATTTGATAAAAACCAACAGAGTTTGGTTCTTTCTCTCCCACTGCACTAAGCTATGGCCCCTAAGCAGAAGACACAGCTGGCTGAGAACTCAGAAAAGGAAATGGTAGAAAGAAGACTGAGGAGAGGCCCAAATTCAAAGTTCTATTAAGTTAGCACTGAATTTATCATTTGTTGCCTGCAAGTATTGCCTGGTCTGCACTCAGAGGACAAGAAACCCAGAGGTCACATCAAATGTACACTAAGTATTCCAAAACCAGCTCCTTTTTCTCAAATCCTGAGAGTAAGAAAACAGACTCCAAAGGTTTGGAGAGAGGGGAGGAAATCAACTGGATCTCTTTTCCTCCTCCTACTCCATGCCATGCAATGACATAGCATAGCATAGTGGAGTTAGCAGCACAAGGATGGCTGTGGAAGTCAGGCAGGAACCTAAAACTCTCAGGAGGGGAACCCTTCGCTGTAGCCAGGGGAGTTGGGGTTCCAGGAGTGGGGACAAATCCCCATTGTTTTTTGTCTCTGGATTCCTACAGCCTGACTTCAGATGTGGAAACAGTCATAGGAAGTACATGGCAGAAGATGGAAGTTTAAATCCCAGCTTAACCAGCAATGAAATCTGAGGGAGCTAGAAAGAACTGGGGGTAACCAGGAAGGACAGAGGTCAAAGAGCATTCCCATGAAGCTGTGTATAAAATTCTGGCTTATCTCTGAGACATGAGTTCACTCTATTATGCACAGACTGACCCTGAACAGGGTTTGCAAAATTGGCAACAGGGTGACTAACACTCAGGTTTTGGACCAGGCACTCAGTAGCACACTTGGGTTTGATACAAATATCACTGCAAATGTTTTGAAGACAGAACTGGCATTGGAACCATAGTTCACAAGATGGCAAGCCAAAACCTGCAACCTTAGAAGAACCTGACCAATGATTTGCTAAACAAAAATACATCCTTCTTAAGATATAAATAAGTCTGGAATATTCAAAATGTCCCAGATACAATGTCAAATCACTGCATATGAAGAACCAGAAAAATTTCAACTCCTAAGGAAAAAGATGACAGATGTCAAGTCCAAATGACACAGCTGCTAGAATTGTCCAAAACTTTAAAACAGCCATTATAACTGTACACAAAAAAGTAAGGGCACGTACTTCTGAAATTAATGGGAAGACAGAGAATTTAACAAAGAAGTACAAGATATAAAAAAGAATCAAGTGAAAATTATGGGCCTGAAAACCACAATGACCGAAAGTCACGGGTGGGCTTAATGTAAGTTTGTATAGAGAGTATGTTGAGGAAGTTGAAGAGAGATCAAGAAAAATTATACAATTTAACAAAAAGAAAAAGATATTAAAAAATATAGAGAGTTTCAGGTGTGCTACAATACACTGAGTTCTAAATTTCTGTCATTAACGTCCCAGAAAGAGAAGAGAAATAATATAAACAGAAAAAATATTTAAAGAAATAATATCTGAAAAGCCCACATTTTGTGAAATACATCATTTTATAGATTTAAAAGTCAAAGAAATCCACACCAGATCCATTATAATGAAACTGTTGAAAAGTAAAGACAATCCAAGGCTTTGAAAGGAGCCAGAGAAAACTGTACATTTCAGCTAGAGGACGACACTTTGAAGGACTGGATTTCTCATCAGGAAACACACAGATCAAAAGAACGTAAAGTCACATTTTTAAAGTCCTGGGGAAAAATAATTATCCACCCAGAATCCTGTATCTAAAAATAACCCTAAAAAATAATGGTGAAATAAAAACATTTTCAGATAATGGGAAACTTAAAGACACTCCATTACTAACAGTCCTGCTCTGAAAGAAACACGAATGTGCTGTTTTCAGAAGGAAGGGAAATGATGCAATAGGGAAACTTGGAATATTAGGATTAAGGGAACAACAGCAGATCTGGAAAATATCTGGATAAATAATAGAGAACACTTTTTCTCTTAAATTCTGTTAATACCTATATAAATATTGAAGGAGAAAATTATCACATTATAACGTGTGTGACAACACAATCCACAGTGGGAAGATTAAAAGGAGACTTGCATAACAGTAAGGTTCCTATGTTCCACCTGAAGTGGTAAAACACTGATCCAAAATAGACTGCAAAAAGTTAGCAAGTATACAGTAATCAGTAGAAAAAATGAACTGGTATCAAGATATATGGTAAAAATTGCAACAAAAAGTACAATAATAAAAAAATCAAATAAGCCAAAAGGCAGCAGAAGAGGGGAAATAGCAAAATAAAACCAGAGAACAAACGAAAAGCAAATAATAAAATGATAGGCTTACATCTGAACAGATCAATATTAACATTAAACGCAAATGATCTAAATACACCAACTAAAAGACAGAGATAGTCAGAATAGGTAGCAAAATAGGACCCAAATATATGTTGTCTACAAGAAACTCATTTAAAGGCTAGAAGCATGGCTCAAATGGTAGAGCTCCTGCCTAGCAAGTGTGAGTTCCTACGTTCAAACCTTAGTAGCACCAAAAAATATTTTTTAAAAATACAAGTTGGTTAAGAGAAAGAAGATAAAAAACACACCACGAAAACACTTACTAAATTAAACCAAGCCAAAACCACAAAACCAAAAACAAACAAGCGAAACAAATCCAGAAGTAGATATAGAGAAAGATGCAAATACAATTTAGTGAAGAAAGGATAATCTTTTCAACAAATGGTATGAGGACGATTTGACATCCCACAAAACTATAAAACTCATGGAAGAAAATAGGAGAAATTCTTTGTGACTTGCATATGATACCAAAAGTATGATCCATAAAAGAAAAAAATTGGATTTCATTGAAATAAAAAAACTTAGGCTGGTGGAATGCTTCAAGTGGCAGAGTGTCTCCTAGCAAGCAAGAGGCTCTGAGTTCAAACTCAAGTACCAAAGGGGGGGAAAACCCAAAGACTTTAGCTCTGCATAAGACATTTGTAGGAAAACAAAAAGACAAAGAGAGTAAATACTTACAAATCACATATGTGAGAGGATTTATATGTAGCATATATAAATGATTTTCAAAACTCAACAGTTAAAAAACTGAACAGCTCAATCCCATTCCTGGGTATATTATAGTAGTTCTACTCATAATGTCCCAAGGTGGAACCAACCCAAGTGTTCTTAAAGGGATGAATGAATAAACAAATTGTAGCATATCCACACAACGGAATACTACTCAGCAACAAAACAGGAATGAACTTCTTATACATGCAACAACTTGGATGGTTTTCAAAGGCATTATGCTGAGCCAAGTATCCAAAAGTTACATACCTATGACTTCATTTATAGGACATTCTGGAAAAGGCAACTCTATAGCAAGAAGAATAGAGCAGTGGTTGGCAGGGTAAGGGCCAAGAGGACAGTATGGCTACACAAGAGTAGCACAAGGAAGTTTGGGGGCCACAGACTGCTCTGAATTCTAATTGTTGTGATCATTACATAAATGCATACATGGGTCAAAGTTCACAGAACTGTATTATAAAAAAGTAAATTTTATTGTATGTTAAAAATAAAATAAGGTAATAGCTGCTCAATAATTGTTAGCTTCTTCTAAAAACTACCCATCTAGTAAGGCACCTGTAATTCTAGCTACTTGGGAGGCAGAGATCAGGAGGGTCTGGAGATCCCATCTTCAAAGTAACCAGATTGAATGGACCGGAAGTATGTTTCAAGCAGTAGAGCCCTCAATTTAAACCCAAATTTCACCAAAAACTGTAACTAATAAAAGTAAAATAAAAATTACCTATTTAGAAACTATTTGGGAAAAGCAAAAAGAGGACTAGCAAGAGAGGGAAAGAGGGGACAAACTAGGGTTAACGGGGAATGAGTATGATCAAAGAACAGTATGTACACGCGTGAAATTGTCATAACACATTTTTTTGATGATTAACAAGTGAAAGTAAAAAAAAAGTACCTACTTAGAGAGTTTTCATTGGATGATGATCGAACACTCTTGGGGGGAAAAAAATCCTTATCACGTACCTTTAAATAACTCATGCCTTTAAATTTAGTAATTTCACTTCTGAGTAAGA